GCTAGCAAGATTATAAATGTGTATAAAAGTATGCCTGTAATTCACAGTTTGAACGTTTTCTTTGCTCCTTACCTTTCTGAATGCTTTCCTGGTCTCCCTGTATGTCCTGCTCAAACCAGCCACCAGATTCATAATGAAACGCCACATCATGTAGTTCTGAACGTCCCTGCACATACAATCACATAATGAGTTATACTGTATGTACAGTCATGTGGAAGAATAAGTACATCCCATGGAAATGGCTTTTTTGACATATTTTGACAAGCAAACATTTGACCCTTTTTTAAACATTGCATATTAATGAAATTGATACACCTTAACAAGTGGCATATTAAATTGATATTTTGTAGAATTCTTCACAATTTAAATTGAAATTGAGCTTAAAAAAACATATCAGTCACATGGAAAAAGTAAGTAGACTCAGTAAGTAAAAAAAAATTAAAAAAAGGGAAAAGGTAAATTACTCAGGTGCCAGCTATTTTGCTATTAAGTTGTGTCGTGTCATCATGCCACAATCTCAAGAGTTCTGCAAGGTCTTCAGAGAAAAAAAAAAAGGTTGTGGATTCCTATAGGAGTCTAGAAATGGATTTAAAAATATCTCCACATTATTTTAAATACATCATTCCACTATAAGAAAATCATCTACAAGTTGCTCACATATTAAACGTAGAAATCTTTTGTAACAATAAGTTTAGAAGTTTGGGGTCAGTACTTCCCCCCCACCCGCCATGTTGAATTGATAAAAAGCGATAGTAAAGGCTTAGCCTACATTGTTACAAAAGATTTCAATTTTGAATTAAAGCTATTCTTTTTTACTTTTTATTCATCAAAGAATCCTGAAAAATGTATTACAGGTTCCAAACAAATATTAAGCAGTTGTTTCCAACATTGATAATAAACCAGCATATTAATGATTTTGATCAAAATATTGTAATGATCTTTTTAACATAAGATAATGTTTGTTAACAGGAATTTTTAATTTGTAAACATTTTACCTATCTGTGCACTCATAATCCTTTATCAAAAATATGAATATCCCCTCCCCCTCACAACGACATCTCTGATGATCTGTACTCTAGTGCAGGCTGGGCAATAGGGTTTTCCAATAGCCAAACGAGTTTCAAAACCTCCCCTCAAGCAACCTGCCACAAAACTGCATGAATCATGGGCAGTGGATCTCTAGTTCTTGGCATGTTTTGCAAGGGACTGCATTGGAAGAGTACATTTAGGGATTGAGTGTTATTTTATATTTTGCAGAAGGGCTATGGACACTCTGTTAGTAAAAGTCTCTTCTGTTCTATAATGTCAGTAATGACAACAGTCTTTTTTCCTATCTGTTCATTATATACATTTTATATAAGGATGAACAACTCCTTGTTTAAACATAAGAAAATTAATTAAACTTCAGTAGTAATAAAAAAGATTTGGTCCCACATTAAAAAAAAAAAAATAAAAAAATAAAAATTGTAATTAAGTGAAACACATTTAATTAATTTGACCTAAACAAACTAAACTGTGTTGACCCAACTAAACAGATTTATTTTGAATGAACTAAATTAAACTATGTGTCTGAAAAAAAAAATCTGAATTTCCATTTCATGCCGACTCATTTTTTTCAAGCTAACTGCATTTCATTCTGGGATACAGCATCTCGCGCAGTATATTCTACACAATTTTAAAAGGTAGTAGGTCATATACAGTATATACCATGTATACAGAAAATGCGAGCAGTGAGCACCATATGCAATTGCACACTAGAAAAATAATATGAGAAGTAGAAGATTGCATGTGAAATGACCTCTTTGTGTACTTGGCAAGGACAGGGTTCAGCCTCTTAAAATAGTTTGGGGCATACACAATAACCTCCTCACTGTCTGTAATGGGAATGCCAACTGTGTCCATGATCTTATTAGTGAAGAGTGTCCAGTTGAACACCTGAAAAGGAGCAGTGCAGAGCTAAATGAAAATCCATCAATTCATTGTAGTTTTTATGAGGATAAGATAATATTACTGTTCACTGCATGGGAGTTGAAGCTTTTTTATTATTTTTTTTTATTATTATTACCCTGGAATCAAACTCCAGGGTGAAGTTGTTGTTCAGGATCTCCAGAGGCATCTTGTTGTAAAGTAGAACCGGGTTGTTTCTGTCCTCTGGTGTGTCTGTTGCCTGTGAAGACAAGGAGAGCATGAAACTGCAAAAAGGGTGACAGCATTTCAGAGGATGTGAGAAGGATGTTTAACAGTTTATTGTCCAGTTATTTCAGTCTCTTCACTTTTTACGTACAGCAGCCCAATCCCCAATACTGTAATATTCTTTTTGAACTGTTTGAAATGCCATTGCCTCTTGAGTATTTAGAGTATAACTTTGCTGTGCACAGTCCTCTAAACCAGTGGTTCTCAAATCCCTCCATGAAGTACCCCCAACACTGCACATTTTGTATGTCTCCCTATATATGTACACACTCACTTCAGGGCTGCATCCGAAAACTTAGGCAGCTGACTTGCTGCCTCATGAGGCAATGACTTTACAGGCAGCGTTTTTGCACGAAGGCACCTCATGAAACTGATTTCGGACAGGCTTCTGAGGCAGTGTAACGGTTTAATGATCTACAACAAAATAGAATGTTTTTTTGTGATAACTAAACAAATATTTAATTACTATAATACTGATTTCTCGCTAGAAATAACATCAAAAGTGAAAAAAGTTAAGTTAGAAATATACATTTACACACAAACTGATCACCAAACGCAACTTTCAGACGCCATCTTTATTTTTTAGCTCAACCGTCACGCA